TAAGAGAAAAACTCCACGACACCCGGCCAAATTTGTGCCCGGATCACAATGACCGATATCATACACTAAAATTTTGCTTAGGTTTGGGATTGAGTGGAAAGAAGATTCGCGCCCGAAAACCCCCTCCTCTTCTCCGCCGCGTAAATTGGGAGGCCATTTTTCCCCCCCACCATGGACCCTGCCAGATGCCCAGAGGTCTCCTCCGCCGCGCCAGCGGCCAGACTCCAGAGGTGCCGGGCCCCCCTCCCCCACCAGTTTCAGGCATTTATGCCCCACTTGGTATTTATAAACCCAGCCCTCCCACAGAGCTCATTGGGAACTGGAAACCATGTTGGGGGGGGGGGGGGGGGAGAGGGAGAAGGGGCTGCTTTTAACCCATTCATCCCAGCAATATTACTCCCTTTTCCAGGGAGTTAGACTGGAGCCCCTGGGCTGTGAGCTGGATCCCTCTCTGTCTCCATCTCCTGGCATCCCACACATGGTCAGCCAGCTCTGCCCTGCCCATCTGGCAACCTGGGCAGAGAGGAGGCATAGTAGGAAATATGGGCAAGTCTCCTCACATTATTTAGCTGCCCACACCAGCCCCCTACTCCCTGGCTTCCTCTGGCCTATGGGATTTTTAAAATTTTTATTTTATTTTTCCATCACCATTTATCCCCTCTAAGCCCTCTTCCACATCTACCCACCCCCCTCCTGGCCTCCTCCGGGGATGGGGAGAAGACACATGGGGCCAGGCCACACCCTGGCTTGTTTCTGGCTTGTGTGGGTGGAGCCTGGGAAGGCAGCTGGAGCGGAACCAGCCTGGAGCCTAGGCCACGACCACTTCCTGGCAGGCTGCCAGCGCTGCTGCAGCCCAGACCAAGGCAGAGCCAGTGGCGAGCACAGCCGAGCCTTAGCTTCATCAAGGCTTCCTGTCGCTGGCAGCTGTGTGATCCCTGAGTCCAGGGACCTGGTGCAAGAGGGCTGCTGGGAGGCTGCTGGATAGGGAACGGGTAGTGGGTGAGGAAGGGGAGGTTCACCAGGGCTCTCGTAGATGAGCACAGAGCAATGGAGGACTCACTTAGCTTGACTCACCCTGGTCCATTTTTAGGCCTCCTGAGGTTGTGGTCAAAGTCCCGCCTGAGCACCTCCACATTTGAATGGCCCCAAGCAAGGTATTTTCTCCTCTTTAGACCTTAGTTGCCTGATCTTTGCAGGAAGGAGAAGCATCCCACCTGCCTCACCTCTGGGAGCACCCTGAAGGCTCCACCGGGTGAGAGAGACGGAGGGACAAAGTGTCCTACAGAACCATTAGCGGGCATTGTGTATGCCCTTCCTCCCCTCCAGCACTCATTCCTAAGGGAGCAAGGACCAGAATGATTTATGCCTTTTCGTAGATGTGGACACTGAGGCCCAGAGAAAAGTCATGAAGGGTGTTGGGTCAGGATGTCCTAAACCAGTCCAGAGCCCGAGGTCTCCAAGATGGAACGGTTCTGATGGACACCAGCGATGCTGAACCAGGGTCACTACCTTCCTCCACCTGCCCCACACCACAGGGTCAAGTCCAAGTCCCTTATCCACCAGGACACCCACTCCAGCTTCTAGACCCCTTTGAGGACACACCCTCCAAACAGTCCTGGGTCCCTCAGCCTGGAATCCCAGTGGGAAAGCCAGTCGACGTCCCACATTCCCCAAGGCCACAGGGCCATTCCTAACCCCCACCTCGAGAGAATCTTGCAGTAGCAACACGAACCTCAGTGTCGGAGGCAGATAGACCTGAGGTGTGCTCTCAGCCACTTATGTGGCCCTGCGAAGCCGCTCCCCCTCAGGAGCCTCCACCTTCTATACACGAGGGATATGACAGCTCAGTGTGGGTCATGGTGCCGGGCAACGAGGGCTGTAACGCACCTGACACTTAGCAGGAGCTCAGTGAAATGTGGCTGCCATCCTTCCCACCAGGCCCCGGAGCTCCCCATCTCCTTCCCTTCTCACCAGCCTGAACACACAAGATCCCCTCTCTCCCCATTTTCAGAGGCAAACATTTATCCGTTATCTGCCCTCCGCAGGGAGTACCAGGCCGGCCACTCTAGGTGATAGAATGACAGGACCGTGCCCTGCCCTCAGGTGCCCACCTGCCTGCACTCTTTGCTAGTCTCACCAGGCACCGTCGACCCCTGCCACCGCCTGTCTCCACCCCTGCAGCCAGTCCTCCAGCCGACCTCTC